GTGTTTTCAGATGTTGATGCAGCATGTGATGCAGAAATATTGTTTTCAATTGCTGTAACACGAGGATTAGCCTTGGTTTTTCTGGCTGGTTTTCTGGTTTTGGTTACTCTAGTTGTTGAAGAGGTTGAAGAGGTTGAAGAGGTTGAAGAGGTGTTTCTTCTATTGGAGTTTCTTGTGACAGCCATTGTTTCTAGTTGATGTTGATTTAATGATCACTTGTTTTATTTTATTCGTGGTTTTAACCTGACAGAATATCCTCTACTGTGTGTATATAAGGTAATTCCGATGTTCTCTTAATATACATATAATGTTACAATTAGTGGATTCTTGATTCTTCTTATAGTTGATGTGAAATGTTGAGTATTGATGAATTGTGCATAATTGGTTATTCTGGTTATGTAATACCTGACAAATAACAAAACACAATACGCCTCATAAAAAGATAGCAATCTCACTATATATATGATCACTATCTCTGTGCAGGAAAGAATGATAGTAGTAGTAAAAAAAGTTGAAAAATCAAGCATAAAAAGGGGGTATAATAATAATTGAAAACTCATAACTTTTTCAAAAAAACATTTGGAAACTTAAAAGAACTGAAAACTGAAGTGGATGTTTCCTTTATCCATTGCTTCAAATATAAAACATAATATAGCAAAAGCACTTTTTTTTAATAACACAATTCTTTGTAATCTTTTTCCTTCTTTTTCAAATTTTTTTTCTCTCTCTCTCTCCATTCTAAATTCTCTATATCTAATTGTCCATAAAAATCGTCAAACTGATTACCATTCATCTTCATCCATAACATCACTTGGCACAGTTAATGTAACACCAGAACCGGTACTGAAATTCAAATTTCTCAACTCATTGTTCATCATTGTTTCTTCTTCTTGATCTGGAGGTGGTCCATATTCACCTTCAAAAATAACAGCACCTGCTTTTCTTCTAACTTCAACAAACTGTGACTCTAAAGAGTTCAAAATATCAACTGCTGTTGGTCTGTTTAATGGTGATGGATCAATCATCCATTTAACCAATTTATCCAGAGCACCTTTACCATCAATCAAAAATCTTGGAGTCCAAGCTGGGATTTTCTTCATGTTGGAATCATCGACTGAAGAATATGAAGATCCAGTATGACCAGTATCATTTAATAACGATGAATAAGTTGAGTTCTTGGAAGTTATTGATCCATGAGTCATATTATAATGTAATTCAGTAGAACTCAATCTTCCAGCATCTGATAAATCACCAGATCTTAATTTTTGCCATGGAACACCATTATCTGGTAAAATAATATTTGCAGCAATTTCAACCATAATTAATCCAAGTGAAAAGATATCAGCAGGTTTATCATACTTTTGTTGTGAAATAATTTCAGGTGCAATATATTCTCTATCACCTTCTCTTTCAAAACTTGGGGGTGTTGGATATTTGGAAGCCATACCGAAATCACCAATCTTTAATGAACCTTCAAAAGTAATAAAAATATTTGCTGGTTTCAAATCAAGATGCAGTATGTTACAAGCATGAATATACTTCAAGCCCATAGCTATTTCAACCAATATTTTCCAAATTCTCCATTCATCAAGCTTAGAGATTGTACCATTTTCCAATAAATATTTATCTAATGATCCATTTTCACAAAACTCAGTCATAATGTACAAATGTCCACTAAATTCCCATTCATTAATGAAATTAATGACATATTCTTTACCTTCATCATCAGCTGGTTCATTTTCTTGCAATACTTTTAAAATCTCAACTTCTTCAAATATTCTTTTCCGACGTTTTGAACCTAAAAATGGAGTTTTAATTCTTTTAACAGCATATTTAGCACTTTGAAAAGTTATCTCATAAACATTTGAAAATTCACCTTTACCAACAGTTTGAACATTTTCAAATTTTGATACTAAATGTTCATCAAATGAAGAATTAGCCGTTGCAGAAGTTGGTTGGTAAGTTGAAACATTACTACCACCAAAACTTGTCATATTAGATAAATCACTTGAATCAACTGTAGCATCAACTGGTGTTCTTGGAGTATGTTTATTTGATGGAGTTGGTTGTTGTTGAGATAAAGCTTGAATGTTCAATTTCAGACTTTTGGACAAAGCTGCACTTTGAGCAGTACTTAAACGAGTTGGAGTTGAAGGATCGTGTGAAATCAAGTCACCATCATTATCAAATATTGAATCATTACTATCATCAAAATCATTAGCAAACTTGAGGATACAATCTCTTAATTCATGAGTATTTAAAGCTCTAGCAGATCTTGGCAAGGATGAAGAAGATGAAAGTACAGAAGGTGAATTATCCTGTTCATTATCATCACGCATTTGATCATCATCTTTCACAACAGGAGTTGATTTGTCATTAATCATTGGTGAGCTTGTTGTTTCAGCCGTTATCACATTAGATAAATTTGAACTTGGAAATGATGATTTGTTGGTTTGTTGAGGGACATTAAGCTGTAGTGGTTTTTTGCATGGAGTTTCTGGTGGATGTACTGATTCACTTAGTTTCCTATTCTTCTTACTCAATAAACCAGATGACATAAATGCAGTTTGTAATGGTTTGACAAATTTATATGAATTAGGTGTTATGAAATCAGGTTCTTGTTGTGAAGTAGTTTCACTATTTTTAATGTTCAACAGTTTTTTATTTGCAGCAGTAGCAGTTGATGTTGGGTCCAGTTTGAGTTTTTGTCTTGCAGGTCTTGATGGAGATTCAGTTGGAGATTCAGTTTCATTTCTTTGTTGACTATTGTTTTGGAAATGTATCGAAGGATTTGGTAATGGATGTAGCTCACTATCAAATGGGGATTCTGCTTCATATGTCATTTTATCTAATGATACCATTTTTCTCAATTTGTTGAATTTCATGTTTATAGAGTTTCTTTTAGAATGCCCAACTTTTGAAGAGCTGAAAATCAACGGTTTTTGGTTATCATTAATGAATGGTGATAGACTTCCACTATTACTAGCTTGTCTCTTCAATGAAGTTTGCTTTTTCTTACCCAAAGTTGGAGTTGTAGGTTCTTTAAAAGGTGACCAATTTTCAACATCATTAATATAATTAAAATCAGCATCTGTTTGTAGTTTATTTTTCTTCAAAGTTAGCTTTGGCGAGCTTGAATCTTCAATCTTTGGTGAATGTTCAATAGACAAATTCAACAACCCAACACTTCTTCTTAAACCTTGAGAACCTTGAGAGGATGAAATTTGATTATGCTTTGGTGTTTTCATCATATTTTCTTCCGTACTGAGTTCGGCTTCAAAGCTGCTATAATTCTTAAGCTGTGGCGACATTAAGCTTTCGTTCATTATTCTCTTCTTTGGTATTATAGTATCTTCATCAGTTGAACTCTTCGTTATTGTTGAGGCAGAGCTATTATTGGCACCCGCTTGAAGTTGCGGGCGCGATATCATTGTTAAATCAGAGGGTATAGTTGATGTCTTGATTGATTTGGATACCAAAATGATGCTAATTGTTGAGTATCAGCGAAAAGAAGCGTCTTCCTTGTTGTTTTTTAACCGAAAAATGATTGTTATGATTTGGAATCTGGATCAAATGCTTCAATTTCTTTTTTCCCTAATCTCAATAATCCGGATCTCAACGTATGTTATGGAAGGCCTGGTTGATGAATACGACTTGAGGTGGTTTCCGTTGAGAAAGGCCGTTGTTGTTTGGTTTGTTGTTCTTGTTGTTGTGTTTGCCTCTTCGTGTCAAAAAGGTTGGGAAAGTGGTTAATTTATTTGTTTTGATTTTGATGATATTTTTTTGAAGGTCGCCTTTTTTTCGAAAAGTCGCCATTTTTTTGGTTTCCACAGAAACACACCCTAAACAAGAGATCACATTTCCGAATTAGGATTGTTGCATGCAGCTTGCGCACCAAAGTTTGTACAGAATAAGGTTCATTAAGACCCGATTTGGACAAACGATCGGTACGAAGTTAACCAGATCTGGTATGGGTCCTGCTTTTTTTGGACCGTGCGTTTGAATTTATCATAGGTTTTTGTCAGTTGTCAGGTACGCGAGAAGCATAAAGTGTTGAATTCACCTTATCCCACATTCTCTATGATTGTTCACCTTCTATAGGTAGACCTCAAGTTCGAGCCTTGGCCAGTTCGTGAAGACCGAATTACAAGATGAGGCCGATATGTGTTGAACTAGAAGAGTATTGGTACCCAAGATCCAACTTTTGCGCCTTCAGCAAATAGTACGATGATAACATTTTGGAAAGACTGTAGGTTATCAAAGCTCAAATATTTTCAAGCCAATCAAACATTCCAGTGCGTTTTTTATCCAACTAGATTATGCTTATGTTGGTTCAAACTAGCCTATGTATTTGAACAACATAACAACACAGTTCTGCAAACAGTCATGTCCGTTATCCTGGCAATTATCTTCAGAGCGTTGATCAAATTGTTTGTGGTAGTAAAATTTGCAACATTCTCGGTGAACTCTGGAAACTAGAAAGCCAAAAGATTGTTGATCGTGGAAAATTCACGAATCACATTCACCAACTCTAGGTTGGTCATGTAGGAGGTTGGAAAATTTTTCAAATCTCTCCAAAATTGATAGACATAAATGCAGTTAGACGAGCTCTGGGAGTTGAAAACGTTTATTTTTGATAGACAATTACCACTTTACATGTGCACTTGTACACCATAAGCTACGATGTGCACATAATTTTCACAACGGTTGTTTACTTTTCGTCAACTCAAACATCAATCGTTTGATAAATTTGAATCCAATTTTAACAAGTTTGAGCCCATTGGCAATCAAACAGGAGACAATTCAAAGTATCACGTAGAACGGAACCACTACACACCCAATTGATGCTGCAACTTTGAAGACAATATGGCTGTTGTATTTAGTTTTGCGGTATATACCTTTTGGGAGATAAATTGATCTCTGTTCAGAAAAGAATTGAAGATCTATTTAGTTACCAAGGGTGCTGGTATCGGTCAAACATATTGCTCATGTGCGCACTAGAATTGATATTCAGTTAGTTTCTATAACGTGTATAGGTCAAATGGAACATGGCTTTGAACATTTGAGAAGTTGCAAATGGAACTCGTTTGAAAGAATTGTATCAGTTATTTTTAATTGCAAGAATTGAAGTCATTAAAACATTCATATACTATCTAGCTTTGTTTAATTCTATGCTGTAATCATCATTTTGTTCAATAAGATTTCCATCATCAAGTTCAAATATCAATCCACCTTAGTTCCACAATTCGAGCTCATCACTTACTGTATAAACTGATACCACCTAATCATTTTGGTCCCATTGGCTGCAAATACCTTTTACGTTACGCCATGTTTGGACGTTGTGTATCTTGGAAAATCAAGTGACAAGCGTATACAAAAGTTGAAGTCGACATAAAATTTTTACCAAAAAAAAATCTTCTTGATCAGCTTGTTGTCCTGACCAAAACGTACACAACATATAACGAAATCAAAACAAAGAGGATCTTTAGGTTTACCAAAAGACTGCTTGAAAAGGGAGACCCACAGAATTACATACCCATCAATTGCAGGTAGCATGGTATGCCACCAAAGCAACGCTGTTTCTTCAGGCTTGGGAAATGTTGGCTCATGTGTCATCTTCAAGAGTTGTTGAAGAATGCAGTTAATGGGCCAAAGCTTGTAGAAAGTCAACTCTGTTGTTGGTTAGTTCTCTGTAGTTTAAAGCTAGCCTCTGTACAGTTTTGTAGAAGTTGAGTTCAAAAGCACCTTCAAGGTGATTCAAATCTTGCTTGGTGTTACCTTTGAAGATTGAGATGCCAGATTATTCCAGGTTTAACACCTTGAAATCAAATTCAAGATTCGAGTGAGATCAAGTGCAATAAACAGTAGTCAACCTTAAACAGGAAAGAACACGGCAGAAGCTATTTCGTACTTGTTGCGAGTCATAAGTAGGCCTAGTATGAAGATACTTCACAAATCTTGTCTACGACTTCAATCAATCAATGCACAGTATACAAAGTTTTTTATTATTTTTTTCATTTCATTATCTTCAAATACTATAAAGCCACCGACCATCTAAATTTATATCCCACAAACCAATTCATGTGCAGAAAAAATAAAATCATTATTGTATAAAAAAACTTTTCTCTTTATGGGATCTTTTTTAAAATAACCGACAATTTAACAACTTGAAAACAAATAAAACAAAGAGTGAGGTATGGTAACAAACAACATTAAAATCAAATAAATAAGCATGTAAAATTTGATAATAAACAGCTTAGATGTTTAATTTAGTACGTCTCCAGTGACGTCTTTTAGCATTGTATCTAATTTTGTTGTCGGTTCTTAATCTGATCCATTGTGGTAATGGACGATTTTGGTTAGCAGCTTTAGCTAATTTTTGTTTGGTTTTGAATGATTTTTGAGACTAAATGGTATATGTTAGTACTATGTTCAATAGTTTCTCCTTAGAGCCAAAAGGGTTTGGTTTCATCATGATATAGATTGAATTTTCTCTCTTAATTCAGCTTGTTTAGTTCACATAATACGACCCAATATCTTCTATTTCATATTCATAACTTTTTTAGTCTCATGGTCTACGTTCCCAGGTAAATTCTTGTTCTGATTATCATTACTTCAAACTTTTCCTCTTTTTGAAAACATCCAATCTTCACTTGTAACTGTTTCATTCTATATTCACTTCTCTCGTTGGATTATGATGATAACTCTTCTCTAATGACTCTCTATCCTGGTGTGTACATACAGGCATTGTTACTTCTTTTAATCTAGTTAACGATTTCTTCAAGTAATGTGTTTAGTTTTGGAAGTGTACTTGAGCTATACTTTTTTCACTGGTGAAAATTCTACGTGCTGCTGCTCAGACCAATTTCCTCCCAGCCAAAAATTGCAAAAAGTTTGTTGTTCGCGAATTCGTTTGGTGGTCAATTTGGGGCGTGTTCGTGGGTGAACCATAAGATTTATAGGAGGTGTTGGGATGTTAGTGCTGTGACCACTAGAAGTAAGAAAGCCCTGATTTGAGTCAGCTGACACGCTTGTCAAACTGTTAAGCGACACACAACGATCTCGTTTCCCATAGTATTTTTCAAAATTTTCACCATGAACATCATCAACAACGTTATACAGTGGTAGAAACATCAACAATCAATCAAGATGACTAGAACCTCCGTCTTAGCTGATGCTTTAAACGCTATTAACAATGCTGAAAAAACTGGTAAACGTCAAGTTTTAATCAGACCATCATCAAAAGTTATCATCAAATTCTTACAAGTTATCCAAAAACATGGTTACATTGGTGAATTCGAATACATTGATGACCACAGATCAGGTAAAATTGTTGTTCAATTAAACGGTCGTTTGAACAAAGTTGGTGTCATCTCCCCAAGATTCAACGTTAGAATTGCTGACATTGAAAAATGGACTGATAACTTATTACCAGCTAGACAATTCGGTTACGTTATCTTAACCACTTCTGCTGGTATTATGGATCACGAAGAAGCTAGAAGAAAACACGTTTCAGGTAAAATCTTAGGTTTCGTCTATTAGGTTGCTTTTGGTGTCTAATTTTAATTGTATGTTTAGATTCATGAGATATGCTGATTGTAGATACTAGCGTATATGTCACTAAGAGTATGGTTGTGCGAGCTAAGTACTATTGGGCCCAAAGTGTGGCCAAAGATATCGAATAGAACATAATATTCGGGAAATAGTTTCAATAATCTCATGAATTTAGTTATATACTATATCAAAACCGTGTAATTTAAAGAATATATAGGTTATCGTTGTTCTTTACGTATTAATGTTTGTGAAGTTTGATAGAAATGCCCTATTAGAAGCACGTGACTCTAAGATAGGGCTCTCCTTTTTCATAGCCAAGCTGTCTGCCAATTCATAGTGCACCATGGTCGTGGCCGCTGCCGACAAATTTGTGCCATACAAAAATTTCAACTTCTTCGATTTTTTGGGCGCTGGGAAAAGTGTGTTGGCCGAAACCAAAAAATAGGCCTTGGGAAAATCAACAACGCAAAACTTTTCAGAAAATTATAGAAATCTGTGAATTGCATACTAGAATACAATCCAACAGTATCACAAAACAACGTAACAATGTCCAAGTCAGGTATGTGACTATGAAGCAGAGGTATAGAATGAGGTTACAAAGAGGATAAATATGTACAAGAATGGAAAAGTGTCATGAATTCAGTGGTCAATGAAATGAAAAGAGGTGATATATACCCAATGAAGAGTGAATCAACATGAACCAAAACAAAAGACACTTTGAGTATCAAGAGATTTAGAGAAAGATGTAATACAGAGATAGAGTAGTAACTAGTAGAATGTTAAACATTCAGAGAAGGATAATAGGAGTTTACACAATTTATGAGAGACCAATATCTAAAATTTAAAAGATCATATATAAATACACCCTTTGCAACCTCAATAAACCTTCCAAGCTTTCCAGTCAAGAGTAATTTACTAACTAGTTTATAGAAAACGTTACTTTAGGTCCACAAGTCCGTGATGGCTCCCAAGTTTTTGGTGTTGCCCGTATCTTTGCTTCATTCAATGATACTTTCGTTCATGTTACTGATTTATCAGGTAAAGAAACCATTGCTCGTGTCACTGGTGGTATGAAAGTTAAAGCTGATCGTGATGAATCATCTCCATACGCTGCTATGTTGGCTGCTCAAGATGTTGCTCAAAAATGTAAAGAAGTTGGTATCACTGCCGTCCATGTTAAATTAAGAGCTACTGGTGGTACTCACACCAAAACCCCAGGTCCAGGTGGTCAATCAGCTTTAAGAGCTTTAGCCCGTTCAGGTTTAAGAATTGGTAGAATTGAAGATGTTACCCCAGTTCCATCTGATTCTACCAGAAGAAAAGGTGGTCGTCGTGGTAGAAGATTATGAATGTATTTATTCAAAAATTCATTTATACATCAAATATATTACTGTCATCTGTTTTTTTCTATCAAAATATCAACAATCTAATCACAATCAACAACCTTATCCCCACCCATCTTTTTTATCATAAGATAAAATCTTTATTATCATGCTGGTGATGCTATTAAAACCCTGAGCCTATTGTTAATAGAAAAAATTCTTAATTGTACGTTAAATATTGAAGCAATTTCGGAAAATTAGTTGAAATTGTAGTTAAATTAATCCATCAAACTTATTTTCATGTCTACAAAACTCTTCGAAGACCTATACTATGGTGTGTCCCGTAACATATAAATTTTTGTTATCAAAAAATCAAATCTTTTAACAACAACGAAAAGTGTATTAGAAACATCAAGAATCAGACCATTGTTGGTGGTGTTTTAAATGGAATAAAAAAATGGTGTCATTATTTGGATGTTCTATTAATTGTTGCTGTTTGTTGTTTGGTTATGGTTTTGGCTTAGTTTTGCTGGTGGCCCATACTGATTGATATTTCCCAAAGCGGTTAATCAATCCATAATTATCTACACTTTGACATATTTTGAACAAATGGAGCAAAAACCCATCACTGAGAAACCAAAGGGTAAAGAGTTATGTAATGGACAACAGGTGTTTTCTATCTTATCTGAGATATCATGGTGTAAATATATAAAAACCAAAAGGAACCCAGGTTTACAATGTACAATTACAATAATAATGGACCTCAAGCATTATGATTGAACTACTCTTGATAGGTGTCATTGCTGCACTTACTATATTCATTGGTTATAAACCATTGAAAGCATTATTAGTAAAATCATCAACCTCAACAGATCAAAAATCAACTTCTTCTGCTGGTAAGAAGAAATTTTATGATGAAAATGCACCAATTCCAGAACCAACTCCATTAATGATTACACCTGAACAAGTTAAAACTTATGATGATAGACCTTGGAGACCATTCCGTTGGCCATATCATCAAACCATGAGCATTTTTAAATTAGATGTTAATCATTGGTTAGATATGGATAAATATTACTGGCATTATATCCAAGAAAAAGAACGTATCCATCATGAATATGGAGATGATAACTTCGGTTGGTTACCTGAAGCTGAAGATGCATGTATTGAATTGATGGAGATGGTTACTCAACATATGTTGAAACGTTATCCTTTATTATTTAAAAGTGAAGATGGTGGTGTTCATGTTAAAAATGAATTAACTGGTGAATTGTTAGATATGTCACGTCCTTTGAAAGAACATCCATTACTTTATGTTTCCAAAATGGCTAAGGAAGATTTCTACGTTGTTTTGAAAAGAGATGATGGATTACACTATTTAGTTGCAGCTGCAGTTCCATTCCCTGGTGGATCTTTTGGAATCAAGGCTAAATTAGGTAGAAATCTAGATGTTATTCATAATGATGTTCCATATTATGAATCTAAATTGAAGAAATCTATGGAAAGATGGTTTGGTAAAATGACTGCAAGTGATTTAGTTGAAAGAGCTTCTTGGTATATGTCATGGGATCATAAATTATTGTGCAGTAATGTTTATGCCTTAAAAGAAGGTGAAAAAGTTGATTCATCAGTTTTACCAACAGAGTTTAATGTTAGAGTGGAACGTCAAACATTAAGAAGATTACCAAAGAGTAAAGCCATCATTTTCACAAATCATCCAGTTTATTATTCAGTTGAAGAAATGAAAGATGAACCATTAGTCCCTTCATTAATTAAAAAAATCATCTTTGAAGGTCCTCAAGATATCATCAAGTACAAAAATTTTGAAAGTTTTAGAGATCATATTGCCCCATATTTAGATGGATTAATCAAACGTCAAATTGATAAAGGATTAATCAAAGAAGATACTCCATTGAAAACATTACCATCATATCCATTTGCTCAATGGGTAGAACAAAGTGATGAAGTTAAAGGTTGGAATAAGGCAATGTTGGAAAGAAGTGACGCTGCACATGCATCAAAAGCACAACAAAAAGCTACATAGAAGTTGGTTTTTATTATTCTCATTTATTTATTCAGTTCTAATTTTTTATACACAGTTTTACTTAATATAAAACATTGTAAACTGTTCTAAGAATTGTTCGATTCCTGGTAAGGAGATGACGCCATAGATAGTATCAAATCATAGCGTTGATTCAGATACTTCACACGCCCGCTCCAGCTGGAATCATCATCACACGAGTAATCTTCTCTCGAACCCGTTGTAGAGAGTAGTCAGCCTGAATAAGAGATTTCTCTCTAAGTCACTGGTACCCTACAATAATACGGGTTCTTGTACAATAGAGAAGAGGAAAAAATTTATCAAAGAGAAAGAGGTTGGAAAATTCAAAGATTTTTTTTTATACAGAGGTTCGAGGTGGTGTTGGGATGTGGATTTCTCGAGGGGCGGTTTTAATTTTCATAAAGTTTAAGGGCATCGTCAAGATTCAATTGAGTGTAGGGAAAAAGGGCATAAGAATGAAGTTATTGTGGTTAAGCTTAGTGTTGGGATCAATCATAAGGCTTGTGCTTGGTGCCACTGTCGAAGGGTTCTTGGAATTACCTGGAGAATTGACGAATTTAGATTTGGTTCATACATCAATTGATCTCCAAGAGATAACAACTGATTTGGATAGAAACCCAATCAAGAGAAGTGCATTCATCAATCACGAAGGTGTTTTCAAATTTAATCAAGTGCCAAAAGGCTCATATATCTTATCATTGGCTCACATTGAGTATAATTTAGTCCCTTTCAAATCAAGAGTTGATGTTGATGATGCTGGTGAAGTTTCTGTGCATTTAGTTCAAGGTGCTCAAAAATGGGAGGAAACTGGACTTGAAATTCCACATCCTATTAGAGTCATCCCGAATACTAAATTCCCAGAAAGACAATATATCAAGAAAAGAGTTCCAGGTATTTTAGAAAGTGGACCAATTGCTACAGTGGTTAATAATCCATTATATTTGGCTGGTATTTTCTTTGTCATTATAGCAGTTGCTGCCCCATATCTACTAGAGAAATTCGATCCTGAAGCTGCAAAAATAATGAAGGAAACTAAGGCTCAAAGACAAAGTAGATCTAGTGCAGCTGCTTTGAAAGCTGCAGATAATACACTAAACTTTGACATTGGGGAAAAGATTGGGAACAGCAGGGCTGCCAAAGTAGGATCAGATGAATCCAGGAAGTGAAATTGACATTCCTTCAGCATATTAAATCGATTTGTATATTAATTGTAAGCCACAATTTTGAAAGGTAAAGCTTTGTATAGTAGTCGGAAGTCACGTGATAGAACAATAGCCCTCGCATTTCCTCTTTGGGTGATAGATGGTACCTGACACAAAGGAACAGCTCGTGCTGGCTATGTTTGAAGCAGGGCTTGACTGTTGAAGAAAGACTTAAGAAAGCATCTCAAGTCAGCCTGACCATACAAATCCAAAGTCACTCGAGCTCAACAAAGTTGTCATTGAATTATTTTATTTTTAGTGCACGGGTGCTGATAATTAATTAATTAGTACAGCTTTATTATACCTTGTGCCAAGTTGTTGATATTTTTGAACTTTTTCTCTGGATTTGCTAATAATAATCGTTTTAACCCTCGAGACATAACTGAATGAATAATTAATAAATATCAAAGGGACTCCACAAACAATAGAAACTTCCCAATCAACTGCTCCAACTCACTCAGATCAACTGAATTACTTTTCCAATCGTTTACACTCCCTTTGTTGCTGCTGGTAGAATGCAAACATAGAATCTTATCATGAATACAACTCTCCTGAAACTTTCCACAATCAAAGAAGTCATCCCGCCAGTCTCTGTGAAAATCGTCTCTTTATGTCTACTGTGGTACTTTGTGTCCTCACTCTCGTCTCAGTTGACAAAAAGCATCTTGAATGACTTCCCATTTCCTTTGGCTTTAGGTGAATGCCAATTTGTTATTGTGTTTTCATTATGTGCCATGACAACAATCATTTTATCAAAATTACCAAAAATTCATGCTATGTTCCCACCAGGCTCAGTCCCTCCTTTGAATGCTGCTCCTATATTGAAGCCAGATAGACATATCCTTATAACGGTTCTTCCTTTAGGTTGTTTCCAATTCTTGGGTAAATTGTTTTCCCATAGTGCCACAGCATTGGTTCCAGTTTCAACAGTTGCTGGTGTAAAGACATTATCTCCATTGATTTTGGTGACTACTTATAGATTACTATACAATGTTAGATTTCCTACTTCAACTTATCTGTCATTGATACCGTTAGTCTCTGGGATTTTGCTAATTGTTGTTGCTGATACCCATGATACATTGATTACAACTACTGCTAGTACACAATACACCGGGATATTATATGCTGCTTTATCACTTGTGGTTTTCGTTGCACAAAACATTTATGGGAAAACTGTCTTTACATATAATCAAAAATCTATAAATGATCATGCAGAATTAGCATTGGCTCATGATGATGAACAACAAAACAAATCCAATGAAAGACCAATATTACCAATTGCAAGTGATCATTCAAGAGAAGGAAAAGAGATAGAACAAGCCAAAAGATACCAGTCTTATGAATTGAAAGTTGAAAAGTCACAACTTTCGTCCTTTCCAAAGATCAGAAACAAATATGATAAGCTGACTTTATTATTATACTGTTCCGCAGTTGGATTATTACTTTCATTACCATGGTTTGTCTTCATCGAAGCTCCACATTTCTTCAAACTAGATACAAGCACAGATGTGACAGAGGCTCAATTGATTCATATCCCTTGGAATCTTCTAATAATTAACGGATTTACCCATTTCTTGCAATCTCTAATTGCATTCCATTTATTAGGTGCTATTCCAACTGTTAGTTATTCAGTTGCAAGTATGATGAAGAAAATTACAATCATTGTGGTTAGTATGATGTTCACGGGGCATCAAATCACAGGAATCCAATTCATTGGGCTATCTTTAACTGCTATTGGATTATATTCATATGATAGATGGGGAGGAAATAAATCTCATTAGAGAAAAATCAACACTATACAAATTTTCAGTTCAAAATAATAGTAATGGGCAGGAACATACTACTTATTTGTTTTTTATTACAATTTTATTTATACCTTTGGTGCAGAATCTTTTTTATTTTTTTGAAGGCTAGCTTATACAATATTTTTTTTATTTAATTAGGATCGAGCAGGTGCGCTTGATAAAGTAATATATCTTCAACATACTCAACAACATTCTGTAGCTATCTCCAAACCGCAACTCTTCCATTAACATCCCCTGCAACAATCTCAACATTACCAATACGTTCACCTTCATGATTCACATAGCTTTTTAAATATGCCTCAACAATACTGATTTCTTCATTTTCATGTTTCGAATCCTTCTCATTATTGAACCTTATATGTCCTTTTTCTTGTAAACCCCATTCTCCTTGACTATTAACAGCTAATTCATCGAGTTTAATATCACCATTCGACCACCCTGTAAGGATGATTCCAATCTCTGACCAGTATTCATGACATTCAACATTTTGAGACTTGTTGAAATTTCCCAATTTTCTTGAAGTTGCAAAATTCAAACAAGTGATTGTGGAATCAGTAATATCAAACTCTTTGGAACAAATTAATTCCCCGTTGATAGTGAATAGTTGTAACGTTGACCCCACTGAAGTTGAAATCATTCCTGAATCATATGAAATTGCAACATGATCACAATTGGAACTAATCTTTCTAATAAACTTATACCTAGCTAAATCCCATAAATAACAATTTCCTTCAGAATCCAAACTTAATAATAGATTATATTCGGGAGATACTTTCAACTCAACAATTTCATAAAGATGTGCCCTTAATTGTGTTTCAAACTCCAATTGTTCATTGATAGTTTTGATTATCACATTATGATGCCATATATGGATAACACCATTAGATGAAGCTGTAATTATAATATCATCATTCACCTTAGCTAAAACTGTGATATCATCATCATGTAATCTCTCATATGATTTCCTATTTATAACCATTGAACCTTTACTTGTGCCTTGTTTGATCTCAGAATCTCCATTGAGAAATAGTTTAGGGTATCCTCTCCAAAATGCATCACCTGAATTATCGCTATGAGTTTTAAATTGAAGATAATGAATAGGTGAATGAAATTTTGTCTGATAAATTAACGTTGGAGCCTTCTTGATTTTTTCATATTTCAACCGAACTAAAGAAGTGACATCTTTGATGGGATGTGGTTTATTGAAAACTTGTAATGGAGTTTGACCAAAATTATGGATAATACCGGTTATTGATCTTCTTTCAATTTCATTATCAATTTTATCTAGATCAATTGCACCGTGATAACTCAAGTAGTTGAAAACATTCAAAGCATCAACAGCCTCTTGCCCCAATTGTTTAAATCCAAATATTAAATCAATCCATTCATGTAAATGTTCAGAAACATATGGACTTTCTAATGCTTCTTTATTCTTCTCGATAAAGATCTTAGGATCACCATGTGCCCATTTCGGTAATTCAACATCACTAATTTCAGTGCCATCTTGTAATTTACCAAACTCATACTTGTTCAAATTTGTTAAAAACTCTGGAAGAAAATAAAACTCTGGAATCAATTCACGAACATCTGTTGTATTCTCTCTTGATGCCGAATTCCATGCTTTCTCAATTGAATAGAAAAGTCTATCAGCATGGTCAAATTTACCACCTTGAAGTAACAAATATGATTGAACAAATGGTTCAAGTCTGATTAAAAACGAAGCAACAATCATAGCAGAAGAATAATGTGTACCATAATGGAAAGCTGGCGATTCTTCATCATCCAAGCTTTGTAACGCCTCATATCTTTCCTTAAATTGTGCAGCCCTTTGTGGAGTTTGAGCTCCCATAGGTTTTGATAAATCTCTAAAATTGGAAGGGTTTGATAAATCCAATTCATCACTTGTATAATCAGCAATAACCCATGGAAAAATTGGATATTGAGTCAAATCATTAAAAGTACGCCCAGCTAAAGTATTCAAAATCATCAAATAATAAAAATTTGACATTTCACCTCTTTGCCATTTCTTGGTAGCTTCAAGATAATTGATATAATCAGCACCAAATACACTAGCTAATTTGATTGATAAGTTTCTACCAGTAAGGCCAGATGTACTATTCAAATTAGTTTCTTTGAAAATAGCAGACAAATCACTATCAATATTGGAATTTGTAGCAACTGTTGAAAGTTTAACATAAATTGCATCTCTATCTTTTGTCTTTATGGAAGTAATCAAAAAACTACTACCATTACTGAAAAACATCTCCAAAGCAACATCACGAAGTAAGAATTGTCTCTTTGTGACTGAGGTCAGTTTGCCTAAATCCCAACTTTGAACACTATGATTATCAACAGTCTTAATTTCCGAAGTTTTTGGTCTTGGTTGTCCTGAAATAAGCTTTACGTTTGGATCTCTTTCACTGTCAGGTGCATCATCAATATCAATAATTTCATCATTTTCCGATTTATGGAAATAGTTTTGAATAAGATAAATATGTGTTTGACCCAAAATCAAAATACCTTCATTTATTTCCAAACCAACAACTTGACTGACATTCCAGAGCTCTTGAATTCTATCACCCGAGAATAAACTCTTCAATACTTTTCTGTTTTTATCATTGTATGTTCCAATAGATTCATCAGCGAGATCATTTTCAATCAACTCAAACGAGTTCAAGCTCAAAGATTCCACTTTTGGATGGCCATTTTGTACATCTTTAACTGCTTGCTTGACAGGTACCTCAATAGAAAAATTGACCTTTTGATCACTTGCCAAATCATCATAGGGTAATAATCTTTTACGCATTCTATCACTGCCCTCCATGTAATCAAGTGTCCACCTTTTATTCAGTTCTTCAGTATTAAAATTAGTATTAATAAATTTTGAGGTATCTAATTTCAACTTGTTGAACGATGTGATGTAGAATTGTAAGTTATCTTGTTGATCTTGGGCATGTCTGGATAGCCTATTAGCTTCATTAGAAACAACTTTGACTCTGAGTACTTCATTATCATTCTTCAACAACTTGGATAAAGCTTCAATATTTTCATACTTTATCTTGATAAATTGATCATGTTTGACAAAAAGATCAGTCATCTTCTGTTCGGATGTTTCACGTTGTTGTTTGGTCAACCTTTTAGTAATTTTGTTGGCAAACCCATCTAGGTGGCTCTTAAAAGTGGTTCTCAATTTAGTGTCAGTTTCTAGTTGGTGAACAAGATCTTCATCATTGACAGACAAAATGGCATCAAGAAATCTAGAAGTTGAATTATAATTCTTGAATGTTATAGAGGAACAAATGGATGCCAAATCATGTTGACGACGCATCAAAAGAATTCTCAAGCAGTTCAAAGCCAAGCTTGTGGTAACACTATGCCCCATTGTTGAAATTTCAAGAAGAAAACAAACCAAGTTTGAAACACAATCATTTGTCAAGCAACCAACATCAAACAAATTCTGTTGATGAAATAGCAGTATTTTCAAAAAGTTCTCAGTTTGTTCAACCGAATCAGTACCTGTGAGAACATACATCAATACGGTAGTAGCATTTGTAATGTTTTTCTTTATGTTGATGAAACTTCCACCCTTTGTGTTCTTATTGGAGTTTTTGTATGCCTCAATGATATCAAGCAGAACTGTCAAATAGTTAAAATAATCTTTCAAGTTCCATTCAAAATCCAAGAGTTTCTCATTCATAAAGTTGAGAAATACAGCCAAGCTTGAAAGCTCAACACCACCAGTGGTAAACAATACTTCAAACTCTGATGAAAATTCCTGGAGGTGGACAATAACTTTTGGGAACACAAGAGACAAGAATAGTGTTTTTGTTGCATCTGAAGTTTGATCCTCAGACTTCATTAAAAACGTATTAATATAAGATTCCAAAGCATTTGGATCACCTTTGAAAAGCTTTGATAAAATGATTCTTGATAAAAATTGAACAATTTTCTCTGACGAGTCAAAATAAATCGTAGTGTTCTGTGGTTTTGTTAAAAGAATAATCAAGTTGCATAATTTGTTAATGAACAGCTTATCGTTCTGGAAAAATCTTTCTGTACTCTTTAACTCTTCTGAAGCTCTTGATAGAAAGTTGATGTATGAATCTATCAACTGAGAGATCTTGTCATGAGAATCGGCTTTGAAAATATCATTCAAAACTGTCCACTCTAATGAGTCCAAAATGAGATAATGCAATTCTGGAATGACCAATGAATCATAAGTTGTTATCAAATCAGAAACTTCAGCATCCAACTTGCTAAAATTCAAATCATACTGATATTGGCCAAAAGAACCTTTCACCAACACATTTGTTTCAACCTTATCAAATTTAACATCTCTCAAAGCACTGAACAAGATTTTTAATCCATTGTTTTTCAAAAAGATGTCATATGATTTGCTTGTCATTAGAAATATCTTGAGTATTAATGTCAATGTTGTATCAACAATAACTTTATTTTTATTACCAAGTTGAATCACAAGGAGAATCCATTTAACAGACACAGTACTGAATAATTTTTTCCAATAATTGATATTTGAAATTAATGGATCTAAGAATACTGTAGCCAACACTTTCAAAACAAGGGTTGCTGTAAACTCATTACCTTCATTGAGCGAGTATACCACAAATGATGATAGGGATTTCACATTATCAGAAGTCAAATTTGACTTCATTAGTAGCAAAAGAGTATCAAATAGTATTTCCTCCATATCTTCAGAAAAATACCCTTGACTCAAAAAATTGAGAATTCTTTTCACAACTTTCAACTTCTTCAACTTCAACACATTGAAAGTGCTATATTTGCACTCTCTGGTGAAAACCGTGAATTGGAAAATCAAAAACTTTACCAGCTTGAGGTTTTCTGGTTTTGATTCATCATCTATTGGTTTCCAAAGATTGAAGTCAAGTATCAAACACTCATAGGCTAATGGATTTGAAATAGTGGAGTTAAACGGAGATAAACTATTATAGCCAACAAATCCAAGTATCAAGTCAAGAAAATTGATATTAAGGTTTTCACGAAATTCTGCTTTTTTGACTTTTAAGAGTGTTGATAAGATTTGGTAACCATTTAATGTTTCCATTTCGATGACAAACTTCCAATTGGTATTGATGAGTTTGAGCAAAACGCTTGTTGATTGAAATAAAGACTCCATATTTTGAGAAGACTCAATAAGCTTTAGTAGCAGCTGGATTCCACCAATTGAGTAGAATACCTCATGTGTGCTCTGTGATGTGTAAGAAAAAATATTGCCAGTAACCTTGGCTTTAGATGAGTCCAAAGAAACCAACATATCATCCCCTACTCTCAAGAATTCACTTTCAATCCCTGCCCTAATATTCATCAGCAAATTATTTTTTTCAACTTTCAATGCAAGGTCTTCCAAGCCTATATCACCATCAGTATTATTTAACACCTCCAGTAGCCTTAAGTTGAAACGGGTTCTATCAAATGTATTCAAAAACCTCATCAAATTGTCATCTGAATAATCACCATTGTAGTCAACCCCCAAATAAAATGACATCAATATCCATTCAGTTGGTTGAATTTCATTAAGCATCAAGAAATTTGACAAGTTGAAATCACATTTGGCAGAGCCCAAAGAAACAGTAGCCTGAAACCCATCACCTGAAGATTCGAATTGGCTTCTATCCTTCAAGGAATAGATACACCGTATCTGTTCAACAAATTCACCATCCACATAAAGTTTTATTTTGGCTCTCATTGTGCTCCCACTAGATGACCGTGATAACTGATGTAAAAATACGATATGGTAATAGCGACATTCTTCAAACTGGAAACCATCGAATTTGCCCACAAGCCTGCTTCTGTGATATAGAAACAATTTCCCATCCTCAAGCCGCACCTGAGTACCAGTAGTATCTGTAAATAAAGTGAAACTCTTTGTGTAATTGAATTTCACCCAAAACTGGTAGGTATAACCAAATATTGGTATCTTTTGGGTAACAGTAAGCTCGACTGCCGAGTCTTTGAAATGCAAATGATTGGTTGTCTGTATATCTATTAATGACGACAAAAGTGAGGTGACGTTTTGAGTTTTTTCTATGGATTTGGGTTCTGAAATGTGATGTATGATCTTCAGTAACTCTATTGGTCTTAATTTAGACTCAGAAAGATGAATGAAAAGTTTAGCAACAAACTCATCATATTCTGTATCTATGATTTTATTTGAAACGATGTGTAAGATTCCTGGTGACTGCGATATGATATGTTTGTTTCTATCTGATTTGGTACTGCTTTTCAAAATGAATTGAATTAAGAAGGTTTGCAAAAAATACTGATCTGGGTCATCAGTGTCAGAGTTAAACGCAACACATAGTGTCAAGAAAAGAAGATTCAAGTGCTGAATATTGTTTGAGTCTTGCTCTATTTCATTGAAATTGTCAAAGAACTGGTCTATAAGGTCTGGTATAACATCGAGTGTTGTTGTGTCTTTTTCTAAATCATAAATCTTGGACAATATAGGTTCTGCGTACTCAAGTAGCTGAGGGCCCTGTTTACCATCAAAGCATATACTATCTGATAGCAGCTCTAGGATGATAGAAGATCTGTTGATGGATTCATCTTCTGAAGTGGCAACAACATCTTGAATCTCGCTGTTGATATTCTGTGATATTTCCTTGTAGTTTGACGTGCTGATTTCCGCCAGATACTTGTCAAGGTTCTTCAATTGGACCATGACACCATCTGAATCTCTTCAAGCACTTCAATTCTAGCTACTTCAATTGGATTTTATGGAGGATGCTGTTGGTTGGCTGTTGATTGAACCAGAAAAGGCACTGGAGGCAGACGAGCACCTTTTCCGTTGTCTAAATCTGATCCGCCAATTTTGGCAGTGCCAGTAAGCCTACAATCAACCAAACGAGCCGAACATTATCATAGAAAAGGGTAAAGGTGGTAAATGCGCTGAAAGTACGAGTAACATTATTAGGTAGTAATGAGTTATTGATAATATTGTGTACCATTTATTTGTACGGTGTAAGAATTGTTGTTTATTGAGTTGTTCAAACTTCTAAAACACTGCACAAATGAATAAATAATGTAATAAATAGTTAAATAAATAAGTGAATAAATATGTTTGGTTAAATCCAGTTTAATAAATAAGTAAATGAATAATGGAACGCTTTTTGATGTTTGATCATCTGTAAGGAGTATCATAATCCAAACAGTATTGAATTTCTTGTTCCCATTTATCACCATTAGAAAGCAATTTCTCCTTGTTGTACAATAATTCTTCTCTTGTCTCAGTGGAATATTCAACATTTGGGGTTTCAACAATAGCATCAACAGGACATGATTCTTGACATAATCCACAATAAATACATTTGGTCATATCAATATCATATTTATAAGTACGACGTGAACCATCCATTCTTTCTTCAGCTTCAATTGTAATTGCTTGAGCTGGACAGATAGCTTCACAAAGTTTACAAGCAATACAACGTTCTTCACCAGATGGATATCTTCTTAATGCATGTTCACCTCTAAATCTTGGAGAAATTGGACCTTTTTCAAAAGGATAATAAATAGTGTAAGGGGCTCTGAAATATTGTTCAAGCACAATATACATCCCACGAAACATTTCAGCTAATAAGAAAAACTTTGTAGCTTTGTCCAATGCAGATTCACCACTCTCCTCCCATGTTTTAGGTTTTGGTAATCTAAAGTCATCTGGATAACTTGAAGCAATAGACCCACCAGCAGCTAATGTTGGTTTTGCCCTGAGCAAAGTTGATGACAAGTAACGACGTGAAATGAATTGTGGGCGATTGATGATACTTCTAAACATCTTGACTCCTTTCACCTATGGTATAAGACTGTATTCACTTTCCGAAACAAAGACAGAAACAACTATTTGAAATTAATTTTTTCCTTATAAAACTTCAGCTGAAATATTCTGATAGTCTCTTGTATCTAATAGCCCTTTGGTGTTGCTGATTGTATCTGAAAGTTCAGTGTTGTTTGGTGCTGAATAAGGGATCATTTCTCCCATTCCAATTCGCTCTTCAAAAAAAAAAAAAAAAAAAAACACGTGTTACGCGCAACACAGTAATAATCTTTCACTTAAAATTTTACTACAAAAGGCTGCGTTTTTGACAGACATGAATCGAATGTGTATTGTTCCCATCTATATCAAAGGTTCAACTCCAACTAATCTTTGAAACGTCTTCTGGTCTCTGACCTTGAGCCTCACTTTGAACTCAAATGGCTCAATCGCAACTGAATCTGGTATTGAGTTCAATTTGAATGGATTCAACTCCATAAGATTATTCCTATCCAAAGGTGGTTCAATCTTATATAGAATCAATAATCTAGTTAAAGCAACATACATCTCCTTCATGGCCAAATGTGACCCAGCACACATTCTTGAACCAGCTCCGAATGTAAATAGATTTGTACCTTCCTCCATAACTTTCAATTTTTTATCAGCATCTAGGTATCTCAAGGGTTCAAAGTAATATGGATTTTCAAAATGTCTTGTATCATGATTAGCTGCAAATGCATTCATGAACATGATTGTTCCCTTCGGTATCACTGCATCTCTATAGATGATATCCTTTGATGTTGCACGAGGTAAACTTGTTGGTAAAACTGAAAAATACCTAAGGCCTTCCTTCAATAAGGCCTCGACATAATCAACCTTATATTCAGCGCAACACTCATTGTACGCAGTCTCCAAATCACCATACTGCTTTAAAATTTCAGTAACAGCAACTTCCTGCATGGCAGCGCCAGTAGTAGGTTGTGATAGATGACCCAGTATGTGATTGAGAACTAATGGTGTATTATCTAAACCTGCACTAACCATGGTCAAGCAAACAGATTTTAGTTCATCTTCAGTAACTTGAGGAAACTCGGGACACCCACGAAGGGCCTTACTAACAATAGATTCTTCATAATCTTCTCCATTTAGCATCTTTTCCTTCAAGCCATTGATGAATTTGGCCATGTAAATGTCTCTTCTATCTCTAAAATTATTTGCCATTTCTGTCTTTTTCCCAAAAGGAATAAACCTAAGAATTGGAAGATAATCTTGTAAATTGGAGCTATGACCTCTTAACCGAACAATTATATTCTCAACATGAGTAATCTCATCAAACAATTTACATTTGTCACTATGTTCAACCTTAACAAGATACCCGTATGTGATATAAAGACTAACTCTTAAAACAAAACCTTGAAGTAGTTTGAACAAATCAATATCCTTGTCTTTTGAATGATGTTCAATGAGATCTCTTTGAACTTCTATTCTCTTGAACATGTTTGTGCATTCATCACTGATCAACCCTCTCAATTCTTCAACCATTTTCCTATTCAATGAAGTTGCCACAATCTTCTTCTTTTTCTTGTAAGATTCACCATAAGGAGTTGTACCAATGGTAAATCCTTGTGTTTTGGAAACAACAGAATGGAACGTATACAAGATAGGTCTTGAGTTATTAGCATCTCTATTCTTGATCCATAATTCCTTGACAGAATCATACGAATTAGCAACAACAACCATTCTTGTACCCAATCTCATTTGGACGACATCACCATGTGTTTTTGCCCATTTCATATACCTCTCAGCAGGATTTGATAAGACTTGAAATAGGTTACCAACAATTGGATAACCTGGAACTGATGGAAGGTTTTTAATTCTAGTTGGAGCTAGAATTCCAATAAAATCCAATAACAACCAACTAATAACCAACAAAAAAGGAAAGATCAATAAGAGCTGACCATCTGGAAACAATTAGTATCTCTAATTTCATCAATCATTGAACATAAGGTATAGAATACTGAAACGGTCCAAAACGTCACTGGTTGTGAATTTGTCTGTCAACATATTTTGTTTTAAATTTTATTTTATTTTTTGATCTTTGATCAAGTTTTCTAGTTTCTAGATGTTTTCTTTTCAGCTTTACGCCTAAAGTGATTTATTTGCAAAAGAAATTAGCTAAATGAGTGGTTTTTCTGCTATGATTAGCAAGTTTTTTAATGTTCGTTATGATATGTGAAATCTATCTTGAGTTTGAATAAGAATCTCGATTTTTTTTTCTATATAGATTTGAGAATTTGAGATTCCTCCACAAAAACCAGGAACATGCCAAACTACAAAATCTTACGAGACACCAATATGATGTACAGTTTTTTAGATCATAGATGTCATATCTCTGTAGTTTAAATAATAAATAAATAAATAATTTCAATAAATAAGTAAATAAATAGGAATAAATAAATAGGAATAAATCGAAAAAATCTAACGATCAATTCTCTTGATGAATTAAAACGCCCTATTTCTTTGGCTCATCCTTGTTTTCAGGTTCTGGCTCAGGTTCTGGGGTTGGGAATTTGAAAGATTCTGGGGTTTCATCTCTACCAGCACCAACTTGTTCCCAGACAGACGAACCAACAGAAAAGTTTCTAAATGCTTGTGTCAATTCCAAAGGTCTATAAACCACCCTCTTCTTTTCTTCATCCCAATAACATTCTTCATAACCAGTTGTTGGGAAATCTTTTCTCAATGGATGACCAGTGAATCCATAATCTGTCAAGATTCTTCTTAAATCTGGATGACCTTCAAAGAAGACACCATACATGTCATAAGTCTCCCTTTCATACCAGTTTGCACCTTCATATAAGCTGGTGATACTTGGAACAGGTGACACTTCTGACGCATAGGTTTTAATTCTGATTCTAGAATTGAAACGAACTGATAACAAATGGTAAACAACATCAAATCTGTTTGTTCTTGAAGGATAATCAACACCAGTCACGTCAACGATTGATTTGAATTGAGAAGATGTATGATTTTTCAAAAAGGTCAAGGTTGGAATCACAGCAGTTGGACCAATGTATAGGACTAATTCATCTTTCCAAACAGAGAATTTCTGGATAAACTTTGGTAATGCAGTGATTAAATATTGTCCAAATTTATGTAACTCTTCACTTTGTTCCTTATATTGATCAGCTGGATTGACAATTGGTTCTTCAACATGACCAGGGTCTAATAGAAAACGATTAGTATCAATAATTGATCAGATTCTCACACTCTATACTCACCTTGTCTAGGTAAAGATTTCAAATCTTTCAAAGGTTCATAAGCTTGCAATTTTGCTAATGTGTAGGAAAGCGAGCGAACTCCAACAAAAGTGCTCGGTCTGAGCTTTTTCAGTGCGTTTCTTCTTGCTGCCAAACGTATCATTGTCCTGATGAACTTCTTACAATATGAGTTCGTTCTCCGTACTTATTTTACTCCCTTCGTTGATTGTTTTTTTAAGGATCAAGGTTGGCCCTTTTTCTGAGGACCAGTGCCAGTAACCATTTCGCGAAACTTTACACTGTATTATACTTTCTCCTACAAATTCAAATAAAAAGAACCCATTAACCTCTATTTAAACGTATTAAGCTCTGTTGGCAGTTCTTGGTTTAGCACGGATGATGTTGTCAACTCTTAACAACACTTCGGCAGCTTCAGCAGCTGAACCAACAACAGCTTTTTTCAATTTGTATGATTCAACAATACCCAATTCTCTGACATCAGTGATGACACCATTATCCAAATCTAAACCTGAAGTAGTCATCCCGTTGTAGATCGCAGATCTTAGTTTAGTTATTAACTCACTTGAGTCGAAACCAGCATTGTCTGCCAAAATAGTTGGTAATTGTCTCAAGGCTCTAGCAAAAGCTTCAACAGCTAAAGATTTTTTACCATCAACGTTTTGGGCTGCAGTATCAACAGCTTTTGACATAATCATTTCTGAACAACCGGCACCTAAAACGGTTCTTGTTTCTTTAGTAGTTTGTGACAAGACTGATAAAGCATCATGCAAAGAACGGTCAGCTTCATCCAAAACTTGTTCAGTAGCACCTCTCAAAACAATAGTACAAGCTTGACCAGCTGCACATCCTGAGAATTTAGTCATGACATCTTCACCAATGATAACTTCTTCAACAGATTTACAAGTACCCAAGGTAACTAATTCTGGATTATCAAAAGTAGATGCAACTTCACCACCGGTAACTAAAGCTAGTCTTTCAACACCTTCGAAATCAGCATGTTCAATTGAGTTAATACCAGCATCTGTGAATAATTGTTCTGGGTAATCATAAATCAATTGTCTATTTATGAAACAGTTGACACCAAATTTGGTGATTTTGTTAATTTTATTCTTCATTTTTTCCTTTTCGGCTTTTTCTAATTCAGCTAATTTTGAAGTGGAGTCAACTTTGAATTTAGCACCAAAGATTTTAACTTTATCAGTATCTAATGAAGTATTGGCAATTAAGATTTTAGCATTCTCAATTTTTTTAGGTTGACTGTTACCAAATCTTTTGTTCAAAATGAAACCTTCATCTAGGAAGGAATCTGATAATTTACCACCAATTTTCTTTATTATTTGAATATGTTCCAAGTTTGTAGAACCATTTAAACGTAAAATGGCATCAACTGCTAATTTAGCAAAATATTCTTTATCTTGTGACAAAATTTTTGATGAAAGTGTAGTTCTTGCAATACTTAATAAATCTTCGTAAAATTTGTCAGAATCTTTTGAGTTATCTATAGCAGCTTTTTCCAAACTTGATAGAGCAGCTTGTGTGGCAATTCTAAAACCTTCAATGATAGTTTGAGGGTGAATTCTTTGATCTATTAATTTTTCTGATTCTCTTAATAATTCAGCAGCTAAAACAGTAACTGAAGTTGTACCATCACCAACTTCATCATCTTGAACTTTTGATATGTTGACTAAAACTTTTGCTGCAGGATTATCTAATGGGATGGATTTTAAGATAGTAGCACCATCATTTGTGACTAATGCTTGATCTGAAGAAGCAGATTGTAATAATTTATCCATACCTTTTGGACCTAAAGTAGATTTAACCAAATCACCAACTGCGATGGCACCAACGAATGCTGAAAGACGAGCATTCTCAGCTCTTTCTTCTGTGACTTGATCACCGTAAATTTGAACACTCTGAATCAATTGTTAGTACTAATTCCACGATCGAAAACATATAAAACACTCACCATTTCTCTAACTGTCCAATCAATCCAATACCACCAAGATGTTTGATCGATCTCACTGTCGCCATTTTCAGTTTTTCAAAAGCGCGTTACAGAGCTCAAAAAAAAAATTGGTGCTTCATATCCGGGTAAAGTTCGCGGTATAATCTCTTATAAACTCAGTCTTTCTACAATGTCTGTAAGTTACTCTATAATAAAATTTTATAATTGTACAATGTATGAAGTGAATATCGCTCATTTATCCAATAATAGTCCATATTTTTTCTTCTTCTTTTGCTTCCCAAATTCTCAAAGATCAATATCATTACTTCTTTCTTCATACAACTTCAACAAATGTTCCAATCTCTTTCTCTCGACTTTCTCCTTCTCCAATTCTGATTTATATGTGGTATGCATTTCATTCACAAGCTTTTTAAACTCGTTTCTTAGGACTGATATACTGGAGTTGAACTTTGGTGACGAAGGTGATCCATTTCTATGAGTGTTGATGTTTTGTTGCAATAATGGAGTCTTTGGATTTGAGTAATATTTAGATCTGGAATTTTCATTGTTGTTTTCAACTGTTGTCACAGTCAATCCAGTCACCGGGGAAATTGGTGATAAGGATGGTTTGTCAGGGCTTGAAGTTGTTGATTTTAAGTCACCATTTGTATGAATATAACCAAGATTGTCAATTTTTAATAGGGCAACTTGTTTCTGTAAATCATAAATTTCCTTCATTTTCTCATCCAGAGTTTTTTCTAAAACATTCTTTTCATGCTCCACAAGAATTGATCTTTGGTTAGATCTTTCTAATGCTATGGCGTTTTCAGCCAGTTGTTTTTCTAATGCAGCTTTTTTGTTTTTATGAGTGTTCATGACACTTGAATTCAAATTACGTTCATCTTCATACTGTCTAGTCAAATATTGATGAGCAAACTGTAAATCTTTTAAAGCAGTTTTCAAGTGAGTAATCTCATTCTCGTTATCAATGGATTTGGTTTTAACATCTCTAGAGTCACCCACAATGGCATTTTGAGAAAGTAATGTATCCAAGCAACTTTTGGCCCATTCTATTTTTGAATCATCTTGTGAAGTTGAAATAGGTGTTGGTAAGATGACATTTCTTTGAACTGCAACAGATGCTATATGTGACAAAAGTTCATCTGTCTCCCTATCTTCCTTGGGCTGAACAACTGACGGTATTTCTATGTTGAAGTTTTCAAAGTAACATAATGAGAATGCAAGAATATATTGGTGGTACAAAGTTTCAATTGAACGTTCGATATCTTTGGTGATTTCTTCAAACTTCAGGCTCAAAGCCTCGTTAGAATCTATAATTTTTTGAATGGAGTTCGATTGTATGTTTTGGCTAGTTGTGTTTGAAAACAGTGATTCGATAATTTTGAAATTGCTTTGTAATTCAAAGCCAAGTTGTTTTTTTGTAAATTTTGATTCTTGTAGAGTCTTTTGTAACGTTTGAATTTCACTCAATGACATCAATTTTTCACTAGGGTTAAGTTGGGTTAGGGCGTACTCTGTTAATAACTTGATTTTAAGATGACTAGACCCAGCATCATCGGACAATTCGTTCTGTAATGGACCACTCAGTATATCATTTCTTTTTAAGGTAGCAGCACCAATTTCGCTATGGTATAAATCTTTAACATGATTCTTTGACGCTAAAAATTGATCAATGTTAGAGAATCCATTTGAGTTTTTGGCAATTTTAACAGCCCTATCAAAATTAGATTCTTCTGGTTTGTTAATGAACTCCTCAGGGAGTGTTGATTGGAAAGGAGAGTTTGATATAAGGGAAATACCCTGGTTCAATATGGCGCTCTCAGACATGATCACTCTTCACTAGCAGCACAACTATTGGGGCTATTTTGTTGCAGAAAAAAGGGCAGAATCAACAGGAGACCTTGTTGGGGCTGTTTGGCTTGATTCGACTGTGCACTTGAAAGCTTTGTGGCTTGTTGACGTCTTTTCTAAAGTTTGGTACGCGTTTGTTTGTTTTTTTCGTTTTTTTTGTTTATGATTTCGAGGTTTTGCATCTGCCAAAAAATCTCTGTTCTACATCTAGCAAAAATTTGAGAATATTACTTTAATCTGATTATAAGATCATGAAGGGCTGGAGCTCGTCTCATTAAACGATGCTCAGGAACTCTATATTCAGGATTTCAAGTCACCCAGACCTTGCTGGTCCGCACGCTGTTACTGTTGAAGGCCACTATTCCGCTATCAATCTTTCAAATAGGAACTTAACATCAACATTCAAGAAAGTGTGGATCTCGATAATGTTATTGAACATGGTGTGTTCTAACTGCCCAAAAGGCTGAATTGTCATGCTTCAAGAGACCAGGTTTGTTATTTTTCTCATTACCACCAATAGCCAAATAGTACTCTTTACTCAAAAATTCCAAAATACAACCCAGTAGGTTGTGATCGAAAAATCCAACATAAAGGAAAACGAAGATTTAAAAACTGGATGTTCGAAAATGATGGATTATAATTTGGGGTTGCTGAAGATCTTTGGATGTTGAATGATTTCATTTAACAACTATTAGGTAGAATAGAATTGTAAACCGTTTTCGCGATTTGTCAACAGTGGTTCGTTCAAATCAAAACACAGGACGAAAACATCTTGAATTGAAAGCCAAAAAGCATTTAAACATCAAAGAGTTGGTAAATTTTCTAAAATGAAGCTATAGCCATGGAATCTGAGACCCCCCTTGATCAAATACCCACCAAGCAACAAGGTCATATTCGACTTATCACGTTCAACATCAATGGTTATAGAACGGTTTTCCACTATCATCCATGGAATAAGTTGAGGAAATTTTCAAACATGTTCAACTCCTTATATGGAGACATAATCACACTACAAGAGATCAAAGTAGCTGCTAAAGATGTTGATAATAATATCGGAAGGTTGGAAGGTTATAATACTTTTCTGACTGTTCCATCATTGAAGAAAGGTTACTCTGGAGTTGGTGTTTATGTTAGGGTTCCAAAAGAGGATGAACCTGAAGCTGTTAAAACAGCACTCACTGTGGTAAAGGCTGAAGAAGGTCTTACAGGTGTTTTGAAATCACATGATACAAAGAAATCCTATAATCAGAGTGACAATTGTATTGGTGGGTACCCAAACCTTGATGAGGATGTTGCCCATCAGATTGACAGTGAGGGAAGATGTGTTGTAATTGAGACTGCAAATAATACTGTTGTGCTCTCGGTTTATTGTCCAGCTAATTCTATGGGGACTGAAGAAGGAGAACATTTCAGAATCCAATTTTTGGAAGCATTGTTCTCGAGAATAAGGAACTTGGAAGAGATGGGCAAACATGTTGTCCTTATGGGGGATATCAACGTATCCAGAGATTTGATCGATAGTGCAGATGGCATTAACCATCGTTTGAGAGAAGGACAATTACTCAAGGTTCAAGACAAGTTTGAAGATCTGAATAGTGAACAAACTATAAACTTTATCAGGCGTTCTGTGCCGCGAATGCTTTTGAACGAATTACTGATTGATAGTATTGATCAAGAGATGGAACTTGAGAAGCCAAGGATAATGCTGGACTTGGTAAGGAAAACTCAAGGAAGAAAACAAGGTCTTTATACGGTATGGAATACTTTGAAGAATTCAAGGCCTGGAAATTATGGTTCAAGAATTGATTTAATTTTAGCAACTGAAAGACTGGCAGAATGTTGTAAAGGTGCCAATATTTGGCCCTTCCTAATGGGGTCTGATCACTGTCCAGTATATTCAGATTTTGATGTCAGTTCAATATCAGGCGTGGCTTCAAAAGTTCCCCTTCCAAGGTTAGAGGCTAGATATGTTTACAAGTTATCTATGGGAAGTATTGATTCGATGTTTGCAAATATGGCTAAACGTAATGCTTCCACTATAGTCAATACGGCTGCTCCTGAATCAAAGAAGCAAAAAGTCGACACAGTGAAGCCACAGAGATCTCAAAACACTACTGCTAAATCAAGTATAAAACCTATCAAAGGACAGAATCAAATTTTGAGCTTCTTTAAACAAAAATCGGAAGAAACTGAACCTCAGGATGAGGACACCAAACAAAATGATGATGTTACTGTTATTGAAGAAATCAAACCACAAACTGAAGATACAAAAAACAAGTCACCATCAGCAACGCTTGGATCCACTGGTCAATTTTCACTGGTATCAGAGGAGATACCCAAGTGTCAGCATAACGAGCCATGTGTCTTGAAGACATCCATGACAAAAGAGAATAAAGGAAAGAAGTTTTGGACTTGTAAGAGGTCTAGAGGGCATTCAAATACAAAGGATGGTGAAAAAGAGTTCACCTGTGGTTATTTTCAATGGAAGTGAATAACAATCTGTATTTTATATTAAATCCATAATTGTAATAATATGCATTAGTTCTATTTCTATTGTAGTTTGGCAGACCTTATATCTAATTGCTTGTATGAAATGTGTGCTTTAATATGTTGATAACCGAATATTGATAAGTCCGTTATGAATGCTGTTATAGATGATGTAAATGTTAAAGCATCTTCTTTTTGAACCTTAGCAATGGCCTTCTTCCCTTTCGTTTCCACAATATCCACATCTATTGAGCTTCCAAAGACACCGTGTAACTGCTTCAAAGCCTGGAGAATGTAAGTTTTCCACGTTACAGTATCAACTTCAATGTTTTTGATGTTGTCCTCATTTTTATATTGAGGATCCACTGTTCTTCTCAACGATTAGTGCATGTTGATACCGAGCTAGACACAATAATAACATACAGTTCAAGCTCATAAAAGCTCCAAATTCCCTCGTCTTCCATCTTTAGTTCAAATGTTTTCAAAATGCTGTTTAATGGTGATGACTTCAAATTTTTTGTGATACAAAAAAAAATGTAAAGGTTCACCAAAAAAAAGTCAAATCAGAATCTAACCCATCATCAAGTCTTTTGACACTCACGCAGCATTCAGTCCCATGAAAAATTTCACAAGGATGTTCAAATCATCCACAGGCTACTTCTCCTCCATAAAGTGCCCCAAGCTGGACCACTGCAAACTACCAAACTGCATCTTTAGTCATGGTTCCAAAAGGCCAATATCTACAGAATCTTCAAAGCTGGAAGGTGTTGCAACAAAGAAGCTCAAAGTCTCAAATGCTGTCAATGATGCTGCTGTTAATATCATAAACCCAGTTGCTGGAAGGGATCTAACCATGTGGACTCCAAAGACATTGCCAGGAGTTGGTGCTCCAGCGTCTATACAGCAGCGTATCAAGTACATCAACGCTTTGATAGCAGCATATCAGAAGCATAATATACCATTACCAAAGACTAAAGCGGTTGAACAAGAGTACAATATTGCTGTTAATTCCACCAAGACTACATATGGGGCCAATATCAAAATACTGATCAAGAACGCCTCTAATAATACTACACCTGCATCAAAAGTTGAAAAGAAGAAATTAAGCCCTAGTGAAAGTTATGAGGCGGTCAAGAAATTAATCCATCCTATCCATGTGCTTGAGAGAAACCAATATGTTACAAAAATCCCAACTGAATACGTTGAAAAGATTGATGACCGTAATAAGAGAAAATGTGATCACTGTTCAGAACAATTTTACATTACCCAGATTGACGATAAGGTTGAATGTTTGTATCATGATCGTAAAAAAAGATACATTGTGAATGGTAGTGAAAGAAGCGCGGAATGGGAATGTTGTTCTGAAGTCGTTGGTGTATCGCAAGGTTGCAAAACTGCAACGGGACATGTTTTCAAAGCTTCAGATCCATATGATTTACATCAATTTATACCTTTTAGAGAAACACCAAAAGCTACTAAAGTGAAGCAACAAATCATAGGGATGGATTGTGAAATGGGTTATACTACAAAAGGTATGGAGGTTATTAGAGTCACAATCATGGATTTCTTCACAAGTTCAGTATTATTTGATGAAATTGTCAAGCCATCTGGGAAAGTTATTGATCTCAATACAAAATGGAGTGGTGTTGATGAGATTCCTCAAACTGCAATGACATTGGACAATGTATTTGATGTTATTCTTGGTACCATCATTGATGAAAATACAATTATTATTGGACATGGTCTTGAGAATGACTTGAATGTTCTTAGATTAATCCATCACAAGGTTGTTGATACTGCCATTTTATACCCAAAATCTTTGACCAAGAAATTCAGCTTGAAAGACTTATCATTCCAATACCTCGATAGAAAAATTCAGACTGGGGAGCATAGTTCGGAAGAAGATTCTTTGGCAGCTATGGATATTGTCAAATACCACATTTGTACATAAATGAAACATCATTGAAAATAGTTAAAGTAGCTCTCAAGACAAACGTTCTTCTATCTGATTCAATTTATTCATTATAACTCTTTGGTTCTCTAAAACCATTTTCAACATCTTTTGAAGATCTTCATCTTTTCCAGGTGATTCATCAATTTTATTCAGTTCTGAAGTAAAAGTAACAGCTCTTCTCTTTCTAGGTTGTGTCATCTCTACATCATCACCACTCTGTAAGAATGCCTTGACACTTTTGGCATTTTCTGCATTCTTCATGGTGTTTAATGAGGTTGTCAGATCATTATCAGAGTCATTATTTTGATCTTTCGGTTTCTCAGGAGAGGATCCTTTCATTTTCAAACATGGTTTGATTTCATTTTGTGAATTGAATTTCCCAAACAAGTTGGTGTTGACATCTTTCCCATTTATATTCAATGAGGGTCTTCCAGTTCTGGATGGTTGTTCTGAATTTGGTAAAGTTCTGGTTCTACCTTTAACCATTCTTGAAGGTGTACGAAGCTTTGAGTTCATGTTACTTGGGGCCAACCTCTTCAAAGTACCAAAGGTTATTTCATTTGTTTCAGTATTCCCGCCAAAAGGGTCTCCGACAAGTTTACCAAACCCATGTCTGTCAACACTTTGTGTTTTGGAGTTGAAGATTCTTTTGGGTGTTGTTGCAAAGATTTCTGAGGATGTCATATTGGCCCTAGCCCCCTTGAATGGAGATAGCCTGGAAGGAGGTTTACCTAAAGCATCTGGAGCCTGTTGAATTTTATCTGGCTGTTGTATAGGCTGGTTAGTCAATGCGTTGAAGGGATAATCAAAGTCAACTTACTTTTGTTGGTGATGATGGTCGAAGTGGACTTGGTGCTTCGAAATCAAGCTTCGGGTAGAGACTCAGTCTATTTGACTCTTTGAGTGGAGATGCTTTCAAAGTTTGTGACATTGTGGGTGTTGAGCAGTTGGCAACGGTTTTGTTGTTTGAACTTTTGAAGTTTTGTTTTGATTTTTTGTTTATACATTTGGCAGAATACACGTGACAGTAGTGTTGTTACCAATATTCTTGGTTACCAGGACAACCATTTCGAAAGGAAAGCTATAAACCATTGAAAGTTTGGTATAAAGTTGGGTAAACTAGTAGAAAACTTGATTTGATCATTAACTTAAGTCAGTAATAAAATTTTATAAGCTTACGCCTTTCTGTTTTCCCGTGTTCGCTGTGTTTCCTCCAAATTTTCGTTAATGATCTTCAAAAAAGACACCTTCTTAAACGACATAAAAAATTAAAGAACTGAACTTCAAAACTTCATCCATTGAACAAATTAAAGCTGTACATCTGTCATTACAACTTCTATATTCCAACAATATGGCACCAGAAAGAAAAGTAGCCTTAATCACAGGTACCAATAGGTGAGTTTCATTCTTTAACTAACTATTCGTTTCAACTAACACCCATCAAAGTAACCTTGGTTTAAACATCGCCTACAGATTAATTGAAGCACAACCTTCAGAAACAAGGCTCACCATAATTGTCACATCCAGAACTCTTCCAAGAGCTCGTGAAGTTATTGATAGCATAAATGAATTCGTAAAGAAATCGGAAAGAGCAGGTATAGTGGATTTTGACTACCTATTGGTGGACTTTACCGATATGGTTTCCATTCTCAGTGCAGCATATGATTTAAATCAAAGATATAAGGCAATTGATTATTTCTTTGCAAATTCTGCACAAGGTGTTTATGATGGTATAGATTGGGTTGGTGCTGCTAAAGAACTAATACGTGACCCAATCGCTGGTGCCACTGATCCACATTACAAGATTCAAAGAGTTGGAGTGAAATCAAAAGATGGAATGGGATTAGTTTTCCAATGTAATGTCTTTGGTCCTTATTATTTAATTCATAAAATATTACCATTATTACAAAAGGCTAAAGCTAGAATCGTTTGGGTTTCAAGTATCATGTCACATAGTAAATATTTATCATTTGATGATTTACAATTATTGAAAAGTGATGCGTCTTATGAAGGTTCCAAAAGATCGATTGATTTACTTCATATAGCCACTTTCAAGAAAATGAGAGATTTAGGAATCACACAATATTTGATTCAACCAGGTATTTTCACTAGTTTATCATTTTTCAAGTTTTTAAACGTTTTCACCTATTATGGTATGTTATTTATTTTCTACGTTGCAAGATTTTTAGGGTCACCATGGGTCAATATATCAGGTTATACAGCTGCAAATGCACCAGTATATGCAGCAACTTTAGCAAACTCAAATTTTGAAAGACAGGATGTTAAATATGGATCAGCTTGTTATAGAGATGGAAGTGAATATATTAAAATTCAAGATGTTGATCCAACTGGCGCACAAGATGTTTTGGATTACCTAGATACTTTGACAAAAGAATGGGATGAGAAGTTAAAAGATCAAATTACAAATTCTAGACAGCCTTAGAAGAAAAAAAAATTGTTCATATAAAATATAATCAAGTTCCCATGAAGAAAACCAAAAACACTGTATTATAATAAAAAAAATGGAGAACCAGAAAAGGAAAGAATATAGTACATCCATGGGAGTTGATTAACCCTTAAATATCATTTTATAAATGTTCAATAGCCATCAATGAACCAACAAAAGTGTAGATAAGTCTTGAACGAACTTCGTTGATATCTTCTGGAACTAACCAAATCAAAGCTCCCAATTTTCTTGCAATTGAAATAGCCAATCTGGCATTAGCATATCTATCTTCTTCAGAGTGACCTGGAGTAACCAAATCATAATCAACATAACCAGGTTTTAAACCGTTTAAAACATCTAGCAAGAAAACACCATTAGCAATGGATGGATCTGAAAATGATCTAACAGTAGTTGATTTACCACCTTTAGCAACTTTTTCTTTAGCCCATTTCAAAATATCTGAATCTGATAATTCACGACCATTAGCTGATAATGATTTCAACGTTAAAACGATATTACGACGCATTATTTGCCATACAAGACCTAAAGTTAATAATTTGTTACCATCCACAATATCTGAACCTTCAATACCAACTAATGAGAAATGATTAGCCTTACCGGTCTCAACTGCATAATTTGTATTCTCTAAAGCTTTGAATCTTGATATATCTGCACCAGAACTTGGTCTTTTATTGATATGTTTTGGACTAACAGAACCTGGTAAAACTTTTTCAAAAGCTTGCAACAAGATTGTACCATCTTTCAAATCTTCAAATAAACTAACAACTGGTGGTTGGACATCTAATGAATTCAACCATAATGTGAAAACTCTAGCTTCTCTTTCACCTTCAGCATCAAATTCTTCAATTTCTGGTTTTTCAGCTTCTTCGACTGGATCTAAACCTGGGTGTGTATTGAATAAATGAGCAACAAAGGCTAAATTCAATTTTGGATTACCAGCAACTAAAGCAGATGGAGTTAAATATTTTCTAGCATCTAATTTTTTAGCATTTGATAAAACTTGTTCAGCTCTAGTTAATAAATCTTGAGTTTGTAATGGTTGTAATGAACATAATTGAGGATCTAATTGGTTTAACAACACTGTATAGTTTTCACCATCGGCAACATCTTTAGAAAAGTTTGTAACTCTTCTATTCCAGTTAGCAGCTTTCAAATGATAATTGAACCAACGTAACAAGATTTGTTCAGGTGGTAATCTTAAAAATTGTTCTAAAGTTTCATCTTCTTCTAATAAACGATATAGTTCTGGATGTAATTTGATATCAATCTTGTTCAACAAACCTTTTCTAATAATTTGCCAAATTAAACCTAAAATCAAATGTTCTTTACCTTCTATAAAATCTTCAGCATGAACATTGACAACAACACAACCAATAGCTTTAGCAGAATTGATAACGATATTTGCATTTTCAGAAATGGTGAAATTGTTCAAAGCTTTCCCCTTTTTAGGGAAATTCAAAACTCTTGTATCAATTGTATCAGGAACTGAATCATTAATCAATTTTGATAAAATTAACCCATCTCTACATTCATCAAAGATTTGGAAAGTATCAGCAGGAATAGGTATTCTATCACCAACATCGGCATCACCAGCCAATACACTATTGATATGTTTGGTAAATTCTGATTTTTCTTCTTCATTAATGGTATGAGTTGAACCTGAAGTTGAACCACCAACGATAATTGAGGCTTTTGCCCCAGTACCTTTATGTTGAATAGCTGAAGATTGGGCAGATTTTGGTGCGGTTTTATTCTCTCTTAGTTTTGCAACTAATTCAACATAATCATCCAATTCAACACGACCTGAAGAATCAACACTAACTTGTTTCAAAGTTTGACGAACATCATCATATGAACCTTCTCCTGAATCTGAAATTTTTTCGATAACAGCTTGTTTTTCAGCATAACCTTTATCTTCAACATCAAGAGCTCTGAATTGTTCAATGACGTTGAATAGATCCTCTTGGGTAAGGACTGGAAATTTTCTCTGGTTGATATTGGGTTAGTACTTCTTTCCGCTTGATGGTTGCTGGATATAAACCTTTTGTCTATACTCACTTGTAGTTTCACGATATTCATCTTTTATTGGATTATCAACAACAATAACAACGCTCTTTCTTTTCTATCCTCTTCCTGTTTGAATTGATGTTCCAATTGATTTGCTAATTGACTGAGTTGCCAACCTTCGTTGATATATGAGCTTGTTTTGGGCGCTTCCGAGGCTGGTGGCAGACTGATTGAAAAGAAAAGGAGTGTGTCAGTTTTTTGAAACGATCGAACAGCCCTAAATCGGTAACGGGCCACTACTGTGAAGAAATTGGAAACATCGTTAAAATTAAATTAAAAAAGGGTTCATAAATTCGTTATTCAGTTGGTGGTGTTGGTGGTGGTGTTTGGGTTGTGGAGGTACATCCAAGAGTCCTCATCAAATCTGGAAATCAACTCTCTGAAATGTTGGAGATCTGCAGGTTCATTGGCTCTGAACCCTTCGGATAGCAGTTTTAAGCTATCTCTATGCTCTTTCAAAGCTTCTAAATGTTCATTGAACTCCTGGTTTATCAAGTCATATTCTCTAACTTTATCTGGTGGTGATTCCTTCAAGAAATCTGTAGATGAGAAAACCCTTTCCAAGGGACTAACTTTTGATAATCTCACGTTTCTTCTATCATTTATGTTCAATCTTTTACTAGCTGTAAGTTCCTCTTTGGAATAACCGGGCACTGAAATCAATATGTCATCTTCATTCATTACTGAGGGGCTAGCTATAGCTGAAACATCTGGTTCTTCATCTTCTGATCCTGAATCATCAAAACCTGCATGGAAAACTTCATTGAAAGCTTGTTCAGATTGTTCTAGAGCTTGTAATTTTGACTCTCTAATTGGATGACTGGTACTGAATATTTCATAATCTTCTGGTTTAGTTGATTTATGGATAACAAATTCACGTTCACCAGGTTCATTATTGGACTTGTTCAAATATTTATCTGAATTCTTCCGAAGTGTTCTTGATAACAAGTTTGAAGTGGCAGAATCCAGATTCGATCTTCGACTCCCAAGGCCTTTAAACAACTGTCTCTTAACATCAGCACCTGATCTTTTAGGCATTTTAGTTCTTCTGTATAGCTTGACTTTATCAACGTGTTTGAATGTTGTTTATAGATTTGAGGACAAAATCAAAACACAGGCACAAATAAAAGGTATTTCGAGGGTAAACTCGTGACTTTCACGTGACAATAGCTAGTCGGATAATACTATTGTATGGAACGTCAGAAAAGACCATTAAATCACGATTTATTCGTACTCTTTCTTGAAAAAATAGTATGGGTTAACCCAATGATCTATAGAGTACTCAAATCAAGCTCATTTTCATGTGTAATGGTCTGGATTCTAGAGCATCACTCTTATCTGTTTAGTTACTAGATTCAGATGGGTCGCGCCAGGCCCAAATGATAGAACGATTATGCTTCTTTACTAAAGTTCGTCTTGAAGGACTCAAGAATGGTACATCGTGTACACTTTAGTAGGTGTGAAGCCATACACGTAAGTCAGCCCTCGTGCATTGACATTGGCATTGACATTGACATCTGAGAACCGTTATACAGACATATTCATCTTTCAATTCTTTCCAACATCTAGTTCCTACTAGAGTTCAGGAAGTCTCTGATGGCTATGAAACACCAATGTTTATCAATTTCCAATACCTCCTCTGTTCCTGTTCTGTTCCTGGAGCGTATCTGTCTTGTAAAAACTTAAACGATTTCCAAAAACCCTTCAAATTCCAACTTTCAAATTAGATATGCTGGACCACTTATAAACGAATTGATACGCCTATTCAACTCCAGCGCATTTCCTTTAAATAGCTGGCCTTCATACACTAGCTCAAGTATTTAAACTCGATGACATGTCAATGAGTTCATCTTTGGAAATTCTTGATCTCTTTCTGATCAACTAATTCGATTGATCAAGAAAAAATAAATAATATCTCTTATCACCATGCCATTGAAGCACACACCAGCTACTGAAGGATTCCTTGTCAAACAAGCACCAATTCCATCACCAGGAAACAACACATTTGTGGGAGATTTCTTCACATCAGATGCTCCAGAGGGACAGCAGATGACATGTGGGTTTTATCAACAATCAGTTGGTGAACCTTTAGAATATGAATATGAATATGTGAGTAAAGTTATCCAGGTTGATCTCTTGATTAACTCTAACAATTGAGCACAGGATGAAATGAAGGTTGTACTAGCAGTTAAAGCTGACCATTTCTATGTTTCTGATGAGGCTGGACAAAAGATTGATGCTAAAGAAGGTGACATTTTCTATTTCAAGAAAGGCGTAACCATAAAATTTGAAGTTGTTGGACCTGAGGGAAGTTATGCTAAAAACTTCTTCACAGCTCAACGTAAACCAGATTCTGCTTAAAGGCGAGAAGTGTATAGTATTGAATGAAGTTGTAACTCCAAACGAAGCCCAAAATGTAGTTGATGTAAAGGATTATTCGTTCTTTATCGAGAATCGAGATATTCCATCAAATTTGTATGGATTTAACAACACTATGAAAGATGGAAGTCCAATCCCGTGGAAACGGTTAAACCATCAACTTTAAGATCGAAAAGGCACAATTCTCTGTATCCAGGATATTTCCAAGCTGATTACTCCACAGCCAATCGCTCGTTGATTGTTGGATACGTTTTCAATTACCACGAAGGGCCTAAATTGGAGTTGTCCATCTCATCGCTGGATTTTTTATCCTAATCGGGTTAGCCAACCATTATCACCAACACCAAACAATTCAATTATACTCACCTCCAAAACTCTAGTTCATCTGGACAGGAAAAAGTATTTAAGGATGTTGAAAGTACCTCTTTTTCCTAAATGCTAAACTCTTTCTTTCTCTATCATCTATTCATTCTAGATTCATTACAACAAACAAATTTCAAAAATGCCTTTAATTTTCAAACCAAAAGCTGAAGCTTACGACGTTTTACCACCAAAAATTGCTCCAAACTCATTCTTAGGTGATTTCATTTCAAGTGATGTTCCAGAAAAAGAAGATCAAATGACTGCTGGTTTCTACAAAGTTATTCCAGGTGAACCATTAGTTTACACATATACTTATGATGAATTCAAAATTGTTTTAGAAGTTGAAGGTAAATTCATTGTTACTGATGAAGAAGGTACCACTGTCTACCCAAAACCAGGTGATTTCTTATACTTCAAAAAAGGTGCCACCATTACTTTCACTGTTGAAGGTGATGAAAACGCTTACAGTTACAACTACTACGTTGGTAAAAAACATTTCGGTCAAATCTAAGTTGCCTTTGAGAGGTTATAATTACATATAGAGCACATTCATTAAAAAAAGTTAATAGATATTCTTGAGGAGTACAAAAAAAAAGCATGTAGATTGTTGGACATTGATAATTGATTGTAAACTCTTCAAAATGCTATTCCTATATGGCTCGCTGATCTAAATCTGGAAACCGGAATCAAAGATCTTCAAGCCTGTCAAATGATGAATCTATGAATAGGACTACAAAAAGATCTCTATTAATGACATTTATTAAACAAGACCACTCAATGTTAGTCTTTCCAAAAATGGTGCTAAATCTTCCTTTCTAATCTCAATAATTGAACTTTCAAAACTATCAATTCTAACTTTAGCTCCAGTATTATTTGCAACCTGTTGAAATGCTATGCTAAATGTGTTCAACATTGTTGTACTTTGATTCAAATCTTCTAAATTTTTACGACCTCTTGGATAACGAGGTGCTAGCCCAATGACTAAATATGTATCTGTTTTCTCATCCAATGCTGCAAGAACTAACGGTAATAAATTTCTATCAAATTCTGCACAACTTTCCAAAATCCAGTTCCCTAATCTTGTTAAAATCAATGGATTTTTAAAATATTCAATATCTGGACCATCTTTTAAAACCACTAATCTATAGATCTTTAAATTTTTCAACATTCTCTTTTCCAAAATTGCCATACCCGTATTGAAAATAATCTTTTGATAATCTTTAGCATATTCAAGACCTTTGGTAATTAACTCCACATTATTATCTAAAGCATCCCAACTTGACCAGAAATTACTGATCCAAACTTTCTCTTTCTTGGAAATCAATTCATTAATATCTTCATCTTCTGAATATTCAACAGCACTTTTATCATGTTCTAACAATGCAGCTATGGATTCAACACATTCACTTGCAGAAATAGATCCTCTAAACCCAAAAGTTCTTAAAAACCCTTCCCTTATCAAATCTTCTAATCCATAATATCCTAGGACTCTATTGAATGTAACATTAAGGTTCTTCTTTATTGTACTATCCATGTATAACCAATGTTGTTTGGTATCTTGTAATGATATACCCATACGGGCAAACATCTTGTGCAATTTCTTCCGGCCCTCTTCTTGCCATATTGATAATTTGGCATTGACATAATTAGAATAGAAAAAACTATCATAAAGGGTCCAATGTCGAAGTAAAAATAAATAATAATCTGTATCAATTGATAAACTTAAAGAATCTGCATTTTTGGTATTGTTTAAGGTTGTTGGATTCAATCTTGTCACTTCACTTTTCAATGATTTGAATGTGGAACGATAAACTTCTGGATATTGACTATCTAATGAAATTGTTCCAATGATTGTTAACCATAAATTTTCAGTATTTGTTTCACCAATCTCTGATAAAAGAGTATAAACTTGTAAAGAAACTGAAACTGAAATTGTGGTACCTGTTGAATAGTAATCTTCCAGTATTTGCTCATTATGCTTTATCTTCTTCTTTTTGGCTTTATGTTCGGCCTTATGTTTTCTCTTTCTTGATTCTGAACTATCACTAACATTACCATCTGCATCTTCATCCTCTGATATCTCATGGTTGTCTTCATCTTCATCCTCATCTGTACTTTCATTCTCACTATCAGAATTCTCATCTTCATCTTCATCACCTTGTAAACTAATCAATGTTTCATATGCTTCTTTTTCCTTTGAAAGTTCTCTATCAATGAACCCGTCATCTAAACATGTAATTATATGAGAACCGAAAACATTATCTAAATTCCAAGGTTTATGACCATCAATGACATAGATTTTCCTACTTGAAGTTTGCTCACCTTCATCAAGACCACTATCATTATCCATGAATGCATTTGGATCAATTTCAAAGAAACTTTCTAGATCAACCATGGACCCACATCCAAGCAGTATTATATTGGAAATATCATCATCTAACTTATCATAATGTGCCTTAAGTTCTGTATATCCAACAATTGGTATCAACTGATATTGTATCAATTCTTTCTTGAGCACATGAGTTAAAATCTTGGAAGCACAAAGAGCATCTATATTCAAACAAGATACAAATATAACCAATTTACACGTGGAATGGCTCAGTGATGTCTTTTTGATCTCATCAAAAGCCTTATGAAAGTTCCCTCGACTTATATACATCTCATACCGAGGTCCACTCCAATGAATCTATACTGCTATTATGCTCTTTTGCTTTTGTTTTGGGCTAAACAATACGCGTTCTTATGTTTTCATTGAAATTTCATCCAAAATTTCGTGAAACCCTCGAAACTACCTAATTTTGGTCACATGACTAAAATTTCATTCCGACTTCACATACTTTTTTTCATCTTCTTGACCACGTATAACAAAAATCAACAATCAAATCAGTTTAATTCGATCAATCACAAAGATAGTACACAAAAATGCAAATGGTGATTCAATTTTTGATAACGCTGCTTCTTGCTTTCCAAGCAAATGCCCAATTCTTCAATTTTTTCGGAGGTCAACATCAACAACAAGCCCAAAAACAATCTTATGAAGATGAGTTCTTGAACAGTGAGTATTCACAAAATTTTACCAAAGTAATAGAGTATTAACCAGTTTTTTAGACAAATGTGGTGACTATTTATGCCCAGATACTCAAGAATGTGTGAAAACAAAACTAGATTGTCCTTGTCCGTTCCCAAAATCTCAATTGAAATGTGTTTTACCAAATAAACAGAATTTCGTCTGTATATCGAAGCCAGCTACAAATGATGAACGTCTACAGCAACTTTATGATGATCCAGTGAAAGGCCCAAAGGCTAAGACCGATGGATTAAGAGACTGTGGTTGGGTAGAGCAAGCATGGAATGGTTTGGTATAGGTGTTTTTAATGAAGTAATAAATGATAGATTAAATATTACATTTACAATTTGCAAGTTTTTAATCACGATTTTTATTTGGAACCCAACGTCTATACAACACTTCACTGATCTTGTACAATTTGAACAATGATTCTAGATCAGGTTGAGCATCAAATTCTTCTTGAGAAGGAATATCAACGAAAACCAAAACTAAGTTCTTACGAACTCCACCAATAACTCTGCTAATACTTGACAGCCAGATAAAGTCTTTAGCAACACGTTCATTTTCTTCTTCATCTTTGTAATTTGGAAGAATTATAGTGGCATACTCAGCATGATGGAATGGTGGACCTCTCTTGTACAAAAGATAATCAGTACCAAACTTTATACCTGATCTAACACACCAACCCAATGATCTGTAATGATGATAAGAAACATAATTGAGAATGAATTGATCATCAGCCCTATGTGAAGATATTTTATTGAACAATTGTTGAGCTGATAGATTAGATCCATCACAAATAACGTCAGCTGCATTCAATGCAAACTTCAGAAAGAGTGTTTCAACAGGCATTAGTTGAAGTTGTTCGAGATTTTTCAGCTTACCATCTTCCAATAAATCATTGTCTTCTTCACGGAAATCGATCTCTCTTTTGACATTGATGTTGATATCTTTGTCTCTGAGATTTTTCAAACCAAGCCTTTCTTCAATGAATGGATCAACAATACCAGCTTTTCTAAGTTCGGCTTGTTTAGCTTCAAGTTTTGAACGTTCCTTCTTGAACTTTTTACGTTCTTCTCTTCTCAAAGCTGTGATTTCTTCAACGGTCAAGTTCTTGAACTCACCCAAACCTAAACGTTTTTGAGTTCTATCCTGCCAAGTAGCTTCACTTCTACTGAAAATACCTTTACCAAAGAACCCATCTCTCCATAGTGTTTTGATATCCTCATCATTTGTGACGAAAAAATCACCATCTTTGAAGTGAATAGTTGTTTTGGCAACCACTGTTGACGATCTCCAGTACGCTAACAAGCATAAAACCCATGATATAGGATTATGAGGGATGAGATCTGGTAAGTCAATGGGATGAACAGGGAGTGAATATTTATGCAATTGACTCAAAGGAACGCTTTTTGACATCTCTTCAATTCAGGTTAATAATTGGATCTAAAAAAAATAGGTGAGAATTTGAAGAGTCATTCAATAAAACTATGTCAGATACCGTTGTAGTCTATGAGAAATCAGCCCACAGCGACTTTCGTCTTCGAGCATAAAATTGTTATCATCATCAAAGTTTTATTTAAATGAATCTCTCTCCTTCCAAAATTTCAAGAAAACATACTATTTTATTTTATCAAATGATACCGGCTTTGAATGCCGTTATATTGAACTTTATTAAATACCAATCATCGAATAATTGATGAATGAATTAAATGAACTGGGAATGTTGAACAACAAAGTCAATACAAGAATGGGTTTGAAAGTTTCAAGAAAATTTTTTATACCTTTTTTTTTCGTGGTGATTTGAAAAAGCTTGGTCCAAAAGTCGAGAAATGTGTGATACCTGTCACAATTGAATAAAAAAAACTATTTAAAAGACAATTTCCACTCAGAAAATGATTAAATTATTTCTTATATTGTATTAATTAATCCTGATTTTACTCGTTCTTTTGGAATCCTTTTTTATGAAGAAATTGCCATAAAGGTACCAAAACCAAGTTTTTCTTAGGGCACCATTTACAATCTAAAGAGCGAGATCTATCATATTGAGCTACCTCATGTCTAGACCTAACTAGATGAAGAGTTAAGACTAGATTCGGGTATTTTGGCAGCTAATCATGGAAATAATCTCATTTTAGACTATAATTCCCTGCTCCATGCCTTATATATCCAAAGATGTATCATTTCTGAAAATGATCACGTGACTAAATAAGTGTAAATGATAAATCTTAACATTTCCATCAAAACATCATAGTAAGCCTGCTTTAAATATCATCTAATTTCCATTTAAATGCTTAGAAGAGTCTATTTTTTTTTTTTTTTTTTAGTTGATGTATTTGATGAACTTGGATGAGGAATGCAATTACGCACGAACCGCTTGGATTGTAGGCTTCTCGCTATGTTGGAATTCAGGCTTCCTTATAATATCCTTCTCAGCCAACTGAGAAACCTATTCTCCACCACGGAACAGTGTGGGACTCGCCTCTTGTTGAGGAATACCCACTAAAACTCACCCTAAAATCAGAGCTCAGGTTTGAACCCATGATGATGGTAAATAATGATAAAATGCTAACTGCCTGACTAAATATATTTTTTTTATTTATAATATAAAATTTGAAAAGTTTTGACGACATACTACTCTGTAAACTCATCTAGTTAAAATTTTGTAAAACTCAACTGAAAATAAAAACTGACTACAAAACTCGTTTCCTATAGAGAATTGAATAT